CTTCCCAGTTTCCCCCCTCCCAGCCTCCTCTCACCCAGCCTGTCTTAATCTTCTTGCTCTTTCCCACTTCCCCTCCATCACCTCCAAGGCACCGTGTCAGTCTTAGTCCCGTTCAGTCTTAGTCTGAACCACACTAGGGAAGAGCTGCTGATGGGAGAGGGGAAACTGGGATGGGAGCAGAAACTAGGAATGCCAGAGAAATGGTCGGGATGGGATCAGCAGACTATTTGTCCATCGAGTGGGTCCCCAGAAAAAAAATAAAACATTTGACTGCACTTTCTGCATAACCAGAAAGAAAGATTGTAGCCTGAGGATTGCATACTCATCATGGAAAATTTCTGCCTTAAAGCCTAAGATTTGGCAGTTATAAGTAGCAGAAAATTGGATCACTGCAAATATCAAGGGATCTTAATTAACAATTTGCCATTATTCTAGGTGTAGTACAACATAATGTTATCCCAAAATATTAACTGCTTCATCCGCATGACAACTTCACAGAATTATTTAATTCTTATGTTGTGATAACATGCAATACCCCCAATAATGATCAGATCATCACGTTATAAGGCTTTGTAGGTGCTTATGCTACAAAACCATCTCTTTGCGACAGGGCTTACAGTCCAAAATGCAGATTTAATCAGCTCGAGTCTTCCCATTTTGCCCAGTAACTTTCTGATTATAAGAACATGAGGACAGAGTGCAAAACACATGTAGGTTAAGTAATTTTAAATAACCAATTATCTGTATCCAGCCATGCTGGATTTGGGGTTTAATTGCTTCAGACATGCAAGCTTTGTCTCCAGTTATCTTTTCACAGCCCACAAACACAATTTCCTGTTAAAGTAGCACTGTACTGAAAATTCACCATAATGAATTTTCCAGTCTGAGCACTCTGACCCAGTTCTAAGTCAAAAGTTTTTCTATACAGCTATGTAAAATATTTAGTAAATCAAAAGTGCACAATATTGGCCTAATATAACAAGATTCTCATGATGAAGTAGAAGCTGAATTCTCAGCTGCTGAAAAATCCATGCCTACACTTTACAGATAAATAACTGGAAACTGCAGAGCTCTCTTTCCAAAACCCATATAAAATGCTGCATATTTGACTTAACGTTTAGCTGTGGCTTTCAGATTCACAAAATCATAAATCAAATTATTTGCTTATTTTCTCCCTGTAATAACTGCACAATGCTGAAATTTTGCCACCAATCATGGAGCACTGAATTGGGTTTCAACTTGTGTTTCTTTATTTTGTGTTACAGAGCATTAGGTGAAAAAATAACCCATATTTCTGTGGCAATCTCTCTTCTTTATGCATAGCGGCAAACAAAGAAAAAAACATAAGTAGTTATTATTTTGTTAAGTGTGTTTGACTAAATGAAGTTATAAAAAAAAAATTAAAATCTCTGCAATTCACCATAAAAATTTCATTTCCAAAAAGAGCCAGTAAAGCTGTCAAAGAAAAAAAAAAATCATTTCTCTGGTATATACTATTAGACCATACATAAGTGAAACTGCACATACATCAAGACCTAAATAACTATATAAATGGATCCTAAATTTCCTGAGACAGATGGTGGATCATATACAGACAAGAGATGCATTCCAAAAAGATTTTTCTTTAAGAAGAATAAGAAAGGGAAGAGGAAAGAATAGTGGGGAAATGTTTAAAATACTATTAAATTAAAACAAAACCCACAAGATTATGCTGCAATATTAGACAATGCAAAGCAAATGAAAGCGAGGGATGACACAGTCGTTTTGGCCTGGATTCAGCAAATTGCTTAACCACATGTATGAGGACATCTTAGTTCAGGGAAGAGTGTAAGTGCAAGCTTAAATTTAAGCATGATGAGATTTGCACCATCACCCTGGCCCCCTGTGTGCTGGATCCGGCAGCTGGAGTAGTGGGAGGAGATACTTGAAGCCACCTGCCAAGGTAGGTGAAAAGGTCTCCTGGCAGAGGAACTGAGCGTGGTGGCCCTCCAAGTTGTGGTGTAGGAGGGGTCTGAATGAGGGCAAAGCTATGAGCTCCCAGAGCACTGGTGTCTCTGTACAGATCACACTTTCTAGAGTGGACTAGGGAGGCTGCATCAGCCAAAAGCTCTTGTCGGCATCACACACTTCTGAGACCTTGAAGATCTTTTCATGTGACCTTTGTCCTTTCTGCTTCTAGTTCTTCTGTGCTTCTCCCCTTAGAAATGCATCGGACTCTCACTTCAAGAGCTTAAATACCACTGGCTTAAACAGGAGCTGGGCATATGCCTAAAGTGTGAGAATAAGAAAACTTTCATACCTTGGGGTGACCAGTAAAGAGAGTGTTTCCACTGCAGTCAGCAAGCATGAGGAGTACGTGATCTTGTACCTAAATCTGTGGGAAAGGAGAAACTCTTGCTGGTTGTCTTAATTAACCCACTACCAGAAAGTCACAGTGAAAACATTCCTTACATTTCTCAGGCACTGCAGGTAAAAGGAGTTATATCAAGTACAGCTATAGAATCATAGAACGGTTAGAGTTGGAAGGGACCTTAAAGATCATCGAGTTCCAACCCCCCTGCCCTGGGCAGGGACACCTTCCACCAGACCAGGTTGCTCCAAGCCCCATCCAGCCTGGCCTTGAACCCTCCAGGGTGTATCCTAGATGATGAACACTTCTTGCCAGAAGTCTTCAAGCAGATCGCAACAAACCCTTTATCTTTTTAAAAATACTAAGGTTAAAACACCGGTTTCTGGATGCCCTTTACCTGCCACGCGAGTTACGAGAGAAGCAAAAAAGCAGAAGAAAAGAATATTTTACAAAATCCAAGCCAATAAAGAGCAAAACCTCCTTGATCTGCCCTAAGGATCTCCCCATTCCCCGGCAGGGATTAGTTCAGCTGTTCCTGAATTTTATTTTATGAACTACTCCTCTTATGTATCTATTACTTTTGGCTGGATTTGCCAGCAGACCAGGGTTATTTAACACCTTCAAAATATCAACCCAAATAAGACTGGGGGTTCAAATACAAACCGCTTTCATAATAGTACACCTTTGTATAATTACAGAAAAGAATATTCCAGTTCCCTCTCTCAGTACTGTGACACCCTCATTACAACACAAAAGCAAGAGTTCAAAAGTCAATCACAGAGCTCCATATTTACAATACTTTCAGCGGAAGCATTTCCCTGAGTAAGAACAACGGGGGTTGGTCTATTTTTAAGGCCAGAATTCCAGATCTAATCCCAGAATCAGCAGAATTTAGGCTTTGACTGCACGGGATGAAAACCTCACCTTGAAGGTTTAAGCCAGTTTTGCAAACTGCAGAATTGTTATTGTCTGCTTCTTCCTTCCCGCCGCATTTTCTTCTTAATGTTGCAAGACTTTGAGGTTTCTCCACCAAAAGATCTAAAACGACATAGCTAATGATAAGTGTTACCAAAAATATCGTTTCCTTTTTTTAAAAAAAGAGATCTTTTTATAGAATTAAGTGCACGTCATTTTTGAATATGATGTTTTATTTGCAAAAATGTAAATGATCTTTTCACTAAACAGCAAACAAAATGATGTATCTCTGAAAAATATGATAATGCTTTTTTAAGGATGTGCAGATGGTGCAGTTAGAACATCTGCAGCAAATAGAGGATCTGAAGAGAACAGGAATTCTTTGAGAGGATGAGTTACTACCTCCAATCTATTTTTCTGCAATTTTTTCGCAATGTTCTTTACTGAGAAGCATTCTCTACCCTGGAGTGCTCAATACTTGGCCTCTTTTCAGAGCTTCTACTATACTCAAGAGAAAATCTTAATCATAAAATCTATTAAACATTTTAATCAGTCCACAGTCCATTTTTCAACATGTTATCAGTTCAGGTTTTTTCTTTGCATCAAACAACGTTTACTTACACAAACAGAAAGCACCTTCATAAGCACGAGAGTCGTGTGATGGAGGAGGGTTGGAGAAGGTCAGCGAGGATGGTCAGAGGCACGGTACAGTTTCAGGATGAAGAAACACTAAGTACTCTTGCACTTTTCAGCCCAGGAGAACAGCCAGGGAATATGTTAGAGGTCTAAAAGACAGTCTCTTTCAAGGAGAGGACAGTGTGGATGGGCAGCCTTTTCAAGACATCTCTCTTACGAGGAAAGTCTGAGGGACTCGGATCTTCTTAGTCTGGAGAAGACTGAGAGGGGATCAGATCAATGCCTATAAACACTTCAAGGATGGGGCTAGTGTTTTTTCAGTGGTGCCCAGTTACAGGACAAGAGGGAACGGGCACAAACTTGAACATAAGAACTTCCATCTAAACCTGAGGAGGAACTTCTTTCCTGTGAGGATGGCAGAGCCCTGGAAGAGGCTGCCCAGGGGGGTGGTGGAGTCTCCTTCTCTGGAGACATTCCAAACCGGCCTGTATATGTTCCTGTGCAACCTGCTCTGGGTAACCCTGCTCTGGCAGGTGGTTGGACTAGATGATCTCCAGAGGTCCCTTCCAGCCCCATATCACTCTATGACTCTGTGACAAATGAAGCCAGTAGGGAGTGGATTCAAGCTGGACAGAAGACGCTATTGGGCCTCAGATCTCCTTGCCATGGCGTGTTTTATGGGACAGAACCCTACACAGGTACAAAGGGACATTGAGCAAAGCCATGGAAAAGAAACCCGTTCACGATTGCTAACTGCTTAGAAATCACATCAGGTTTAGAAAACCCGCAAGTGCCCAGGAGCTGGAGGAATACATGTGGAAAAATATCATACAGCCTTGACTTTGTTTTGTACTCTTCCCTAGACATCTCTTTTTTTGCGCCATTGGTTGGATACAGAGGTAGATGAATCCTTAGTCTGACCCTATGGGGCTTCTCTTCACATCTTTTGGTCCCCTTGATGGCAGAAATGTTTACATGTGCAAATTTAATTAAAGTTATGAAGCAACTTTTAATGATCTTCCCTACTGTTACACATCCTTCCATGTATCAAGAAGTGTCCTTGTTTGAGGTGGATTATAGTGATTACATAGTAGGTGCATCAAGCAGATAAGGAGGCCTTTACAAAAAATGGTCTCTGCCTAGACTCTACACCTAGTTTCATCGAGTCTAGATTAACATCTTCACAAGTTAGACATGTTAAATATATCATTTTCAACACCACCACAAAAATCTGGCTTTGGTTCTCCAGTTCAGAGGTGCTCACACTATTAAACTAGCTGGGGAATAACATCAACCTGAATACAGATGCATTTTTACCCTTTTCACTTAAAGTCCAGTAACCCAAGACAGCAAATGAATTGTAAAAAGTACTTCTTAAAACCAGTATTTCTAACATACTTTAATCTTCTTTATATCATATTCCTATGTAATACAACTTTTTTTTTCTTTCTAATTCTGTTAATTAGGCAAGTCCTTCACCCTCTGTGGGTGAGGGCTCTGCCACTGCTTATGTTATGGCCAATGCAAATGGTGAGAGGATTGTGGCTGCAGGAGGAGACTCCACTGTCTTGAAAAGCCAATGCGAACCCTGGGAGGGGGGCTATTTACTCCACATTAGGTGGTGGGGTTTCGTCCTTTGGCTTCTTCTCTTGGTTGTCTCGCCCAAATTTTGATTTCAGAAAAGATTTTACAGCATCCCTGAAATGGAAAAAGGATGTAAAGAAAAAGATACCTTTAAGTAGGTTTACACCAATAGCTTTGAAGCATTCCCTTCCCATCCGCAATCACTGTAACTGCTTTGTAAAGTACTTCTCTCCAGTCTCCAGGAGCTTGCTCCTGTTTTCTCAACTGGCAACACAAATCTTAAATTACAGAGAAACTTAGATAGTTCACCCAGGCCATGTTTGTCATCAGTAACACCATATTTTTATCAAATAAAATTAAATCCCAGTGTATGCTGTCAACCTACCGGTAACGAATCATGAAGATCATGGAAATGATCACACAAGGAAGCAGGACGATTCCAGCTACTAGGCTAATGATCAAAATGTAATCTGTTGTTTTTTTCATTGATTTCTCTGGCCCTGTCATTGTATTTGGTTGCTCTGTTTGCTTTTTCTTTGATTGTTCTGTTTGCACTTCTGAAGAAAAGAAATACATCATCATTATTATGTTCAAATTTTCAAATGAATCAGGCATTTAATCTGACAGACAGAACTGAAAAGGAGCAGGGCTTGATTAATTACTGACATCTTTCACAACCTTCAGGCCTTTACTGTATCAGCAAAGGTTAGAAGAGTAGCTTTTTATACCTTCTTCCCAAAGGCATATCTAACCAAGGAAGATGCAAAGAACTATAGATGAAGGCATGTGGAGTGGGATACATGTCACTTAGCAGCTGTGAAACACAAAGAACTGCAATTCTTAAAGACAAGGCAAAAAACTACAGTAGGAAAAGTATCTGTTTGGTACATGATAAGTAATATAACAATATTTTTGCTTTAAGAAACGCTTTAATGTAAGATTTCAAGATGTGTCCACCTAAGATATGTGAATGATAAGGACAGAAGTACTACCACAGGCTGTCTGCCACTCAAGGCAGCTGACTTCTTTGTCACCCAGAGCTGAGGCACCAAGGTACCATGTGCTACACAACTCTAACAATGGTAATTGCTGCAATAATAATGATAATAATGAAGCCAAGAGAGAGTATACTAACAAAAGACCAAATTCAAGGACTTAAGTGCTGCTTTTCTCTTCCCTGTCTCTATCTAGGTCTGCAAAGCCTTTATTTAAAGCCAATAACCACGGAGCACGGAAAGGAGTTGTTCTGCATGGCCCAGAAATACATAGCAAGGAGCAGCTGCATGAAGCTGAGAAGTGAAAAATGTAACAAGGATATAAAGTAAAAATGCATTTTGTAATGCTGCAGCCTGTTCAACCCTTCACCTAAGGAAAACCTGCCATTAGTTAGGCTGTTTCTGTAAGACCAGACATACCAGTTAGGAGGTGACTGTAACAAACCCCCCAGGAAGAGTGGAAAATGCTGAAAATGGCCAACCAACTTTCCCCATCTGTTTTTTGACATTGGATAAAGAAAAGCTTGGAAACCAAACCCAGTCACCTTGTAGTGAAATTTAATTGACCTTATTCGTTCAGCTACATTCAACCAAATCAAGGAACCACCAGGCATCTTCCCAGATCCCTCCAGCTTTGGCAATTTTACACAAGCCAACCTTATTTTCTCTTTCATTTTCCATCATATAGTTTCTAAAACTATAAGGTGCTGTCTCATTGCTGACTGGTATGCAAAATTTATGTTCACACGGGCAGGAATTCTGCATAGCAGAATGACTGCAGGAAAACTATTTCTATTTCTTTCTATTTCTATTTCTACTTCTGTATAAGGTCCCATGCCACTGTCATCGCTGTAGTATCTAAGCAACTCTTCCATCACATCATTTGAGTTTCATTCTTCTGCATCACAGAATTCTGATATTCTTAAACCACAGCTCATCTATAGGATTCTCCTGATCTTTCTGCAAGATACAGTGCAGGTAAGAATGGTGAACTGGCTGAGAATATCATACATAGTAAGTGCAAATACTGGGGGTTTCATACAATGTAGAGCTACCTCTTTTCGACTAATTCACTGACTGGATGGTGTCTTTTTAGAATTACATGCAGTTGTGGGTCATGGAGGCTAATGAAAATTATCTTTGATTTTGCAATTTCATTAATGAAATATATTTTCCCCTTGGCAAGGTGTGAATTTAGAGCTCTAAGAATACCTCTGTTGACAGGCTCTAACAGGAGGTTGCTGAAGAGAAAAAAACAAGTTGCATGTTATCCACAACAAATCTGCTCAAGTTTTCTTCCTAGGCAAGGAATTCTTCCAACAGTCAAGAACCAGAACTGCCCAAGAGACAACCTGAGAACACAGAGGGGATGCATTCCAAACACACACATGCATTTAAAATGCAAGCAGGAAGCAGACAGAAAAGCAGCTTCCCAATAAGCTGGTTTACAATGAGCAAAGATTGATTCACATCAAGTGCACTTTGAAGCCCCCAACTGCACTCCTAAAAGTCCAGGCAATGCTCCCAATTAGTCAGTGAGAATTTTACTACAGCCAGAATATGCCTTAAAAACATCTTCAGCTTACAGTTAAGGAGACAAAGATGCATTTACATCAACTTTTTTAAAAAGTCCACTTAGCTTAGGAAAAGTAAGAAGAACAATTCTTGTTTGAAACATGAAAAGTGTAGTTCAATGACTTTCAGCCTGAAGTCTACAGCTCACTGTGGGTCTGTGGATTACTTCACTGTGAAGAATGGTGAAAAAAAGCACTATTGATATATTCCACAACCACACAGTAAAACAATTCCTAAAATTGTTTGCACTCCACTAGAAATCTTCTAGGGCTCTACAACAATAACAACATTGATAACATATCTGACAGTTTCAAGCAGACTGCCTTCAACCCTACCAAAATCTTGGCATTCACACTTTACCTATTGATGATTTATACTCATCTTAACTAAAAAAGGAATTGCAGGCACTGTTGGATTTAAATTACGAAGATCCACGTATTTTTGCAAGTCAGAACAAGGCAGGAAAGAAGGAAAAGAAGGAATGCTCAGATTTATTTTTTGGCTTCCATGACTGCCTGCTGATGTGAGGCCAGCCCTGTGGCAGAAACCCCAGAGTGTGCTGGTCATAGCTCATGGAAGTCTTTCCAAGGGCTCACATGGTCCAAGCATCATACACTCCCTCCACCCCAGATCCTATCTGCTGTGCCAATGGGGTGACAACAGGCTGGATTAAAGGAAACCAAAAGTGTCATCTGTATGGCCATTACCAGCTGCTAAGAAGACTGAAAGCTTTTTTATCTTCTTTCTGCCATCAGAACAATATTCTTAATCTGAGCCACAGTGCATGACCTGGCTCGAGGACCTTAGAAATTTACTGCTTTCTTTTTTGGGTGGAAAAAGATACATCACATACCTCTCTTACACCAAGCATGAGAGCAGGGTAGCTCTAAAACAGAGAGCACATTCTCTGCTGTGGTGTGGCCCACCAACTGTATTTGCATTGTGTACCACAGTTTAACAAAGCTGCTTTGATTTCTATGCAGCACAGTGCATCTCCGGACTGTCCTCTGCCTTCATGGATGCCCTCTCCCCTTTAATTTGCTGAAATCCAAATACATTCACAAGCATCTGCTGCCACTGCTGGCATTTCCCTCCAGAAAATATCAGCAATACAAATTCTGTCTCTGCAGTCTATTCAGTCATTTCTTCAAGAAGAGAGAGATTCACAATACCGTAAATCTTACACATCAGGAAAGTGAAACACCTGCTTTTTTAGCACCATTTCCATCCAAAGGAAACCCACTACTTCTGCCAGCAGAAGTTCCTCCTCATCCTCCTCTTCCCCTGGGTTTTTCATTGAGCTGGAGTTCCTCCTAGGCCATGGTGTTGACTGTACAGCAGTGCTCCATCTACCAGCTGATGCTCAACCAATTGTTTATATGGTCCAGCAGCCAACAGGAGTTCTTTCCACCAGTTTTCAGATCCAGAAAGTATGTATCAGTTTGGCAGAGGGGAATGAGATTCTGCCTCTGTAGGCTGGTTTAGGTTTTTTCTTTCCCTGTTAGTACAATGGTGATGCATAGCTTTTCTGTTTCCCTTCTAGATTATCCATAAGCCTTTTTCTCTGTATTAAAAATGGATGGATATTTGCTAACGGGCAAGCAGGGTTACATACACATAGAGGAGGTGCAAGCTGTTAATCTTGGGTACTGGGATTCCCCATTTAATTTCTGTGTGAATGCAAGGACAACCTGGCCACACTGATGACACACTTGTACAGCAGCTGGTTACAGAGGTGTGACTTTTCTCTCTCAAGGAAGCTCTGGCACTGAAGTCAACAGCAGGAAATGAAGAGAGACGGGAGGCCAGAATGGCCTCTGAGACACCAAAACGCTTACTGCTTCCACCTTCTCCACAGAAGTGCCACCAGACACACACCCCAAACTCGCTGAGAAGCGTGGGGCTGGGGGCACAGCAGGGATCTCAGCAGGCTGACACCCTTCACATAGCATCCTAATGAGGATCCTTCTCTGCTCTCGCCTTCCTCCCTTGCAGAGCCCGCCCTCCTCACAGGACTATTATTAGTAAATATGAATAAACCGCCTTCCAGCTCCAAAGTCTTCACAAAACACCAAACAACCCAACCGGAGGGAGTGTGAAACAACACCCTTCAGTGCCTCAGGGTAGTGAGTTGGTACGAAAGACATACAGAAATGTCAGTTATTAAAAGATGGGATTTTCCTTGCAGAGATCGCAATAATTTTTGATGAAGATAAAATACTTTTTTTTTCCCCTCTTATTTTTCACTTCCTATAAACAAACAAAGAGAACCTATCGGTCTGAACGGTTCTGAAAACAAAAGAAAAAGCCAAATTACTGAAGACCACTTAGTTATGCAAAAAGGTCATTACCACTGTTCATCAAAAGGTCACTGAGAAGCACAGCGATCACTGGTAAAGGACACATGCAATTTCTCCGTGCATAGCTTTAAAATTAACTCATATGAAGTCTTGCCACGTGGCAAATTCAATCAAAACATCAATTCCTGCAAGGTTTTACCTGCCCTTTTGCAACATGTCTTGCCTTCCTCCCACCTCATGCGTCTCAAAATCTGAAGTGGAAAGTGTCACATTATGCATTTTCAAGGGGTGGCTTTGGGGCTGAGCTCGCAGACCATCCAGAGAGCAAAACTACATCTGTATGATGAAAGTCGTGGTATGTTCTCAACCAAAATGTCAGCTGATAAACTAACAGTTAATAATTTCTAAAGTCCAAATAATGGCACTCCTGGGGAAGCAAAACCCAGAAACACCTCTGCACAAAGCCAAAGGATGCTGATCCATCACTAAGCACAACCACCCTCTTCTTTTAAGCTACTTAATAAGTCTTAGAGCTTGTCTTTTTCAGATTTCACAAATACTTTCTGAACCAGTAAGTCTCAATCCTTGTAAGAAGTTCTCAGTGGATATGTCCATTGGGTGGGTTTCATCTGACCACTTTTCACCCAGACAACTCCCAGCTTAAATGCAAGTGTCTGAGTCGTCCTATTGATGACTCACCCGACTCAAGTCAATGGGACCATTTGCATGCTTAAACCTAAAACAGATTATGTGCTCTGCTAATTCAGGTCTCAAAAAGGAAGCTTCCTCTCTACAAAAAGGAATGTAGAGACTGAATAGTGGGAGAAGGGGAAAAGAAAAAAAAATAAAAAAATAAAAGCTTTGGGTGTTTTGTGACTGCCAGATGGATTTAGAAAATGAATAAACAAATTCCATGTTACAGTTCAATGGCAGAAAGGACCTCAATAGAGATACAGGAAACGGCTTATCTTACTGAAGAGAAGGGGGAAAAAAAGCAGGATTCCCAAGCCAGACAGCTTTACTTCAGTAAACAACATGGAGGGGAGAAATATGCAGAGGGGTATCTCCAAGGATTTCTTCCTTTCTAGTCTGCCATAATTTTGAAGAAGACCTAAATCTACATTATTTCATTAAAAACTTTAAATAAGCAAGGCACTTTCACCCTTTCTCTGATTAGAAAAGTTTCTATGTGGCACTACTGCCCTTCCTAACATAAAAATCCCATTAGCAGAGAAGGCGAAAGAGTACTGAGGAACTGGCTTATGATGTATTCTTTTTAACATTAAACTTTGCTAAATCCATTGTGTCTAAGCAAATTCCAGATGGCCACTAAAAGAAAAACTCCAAAAGGTTGTTTTCCTGTTTCAGTACTGAAGTGGGAAGGAGATTTAACTGCAGAACCTATGCTACTGGTGCTATGTGGCTAGTAAGACAGAAGTCTATGTTAACCAGCCTGGGTGCACTAAAAAAGTAAGCAGGTAATAGGCAAACCTCCTTATTTAACTGGAATTTTTACAAAGGATAAAGAAAATACTCATTCTTGCAACAAGGAACCTCTTCATTCACATTCTGTCATTTCCTTTTATTTGTTTTTTTTTTTTTTTTTACTAGCCTGCATTTCGTGACAGTCATTACCACAGCACACAAGTTCCTGCCGTTATACTACTGGTGACATGCAATCTTATAAAGATTGAGTACTACATAAAAACCACCAGGCCATACCACTAGAAGACTCTAAGCATCTCTATGAACTTACCAGCTTCTGTGTAGACTGTGTATTTTATAGACGCAACCGCACTTCCCTGTTCTTGAGTTTCACACTCGAAAGTACCCGAATGGGTATCTCTGCAAACTCTCAGAACAGCTGAATCATTGGGAAGAATGTGTGCTTCCTAGCCATGTAGAAAAGAAAAAAAAAAGAAAAAAAAGTTTGTATTTTTTCAAACAGATCTGCAAAGATGAGTTGCATTGTGTCAGAAGACGCGGAGAAAAGTGCTTATTCTGCTCCAACATCTTTCAACCCGTCAGGAACTCTTGGCCCCTGGGAAAATTTCTCCCATCTCACAGAACCACAGAATGATATGGGATGATAAGGGACCTCTGGAGATCATCTAGCCCAAACCCCCTGCCAAAGCAGGTCCACCCAGAGCAGGTTGCACAGGAACGTGTCCAGGTGGGTTTGGAATGTCTCCAGAGAAGGAGACTCCACCATCTCCCTGGGCAGCCTCTTCCAGGGCTCTGCCACCCTCACAGGAAAGAAGTTCCTCCTCATGTTTAGACAGAACTTCCCATGTTCAAGTTTGTGCCTGTTCCCTCTTGTCCTGTCACTGGGCATCACTGAAAAAAGACTGGCCCCTTCCTCCTGACACCCTTTAAGTATTTATAGATGTTGATCAGGTCCCCCCTCAGTCTTCTCTTCTTTAGACTAAAAAGACCCAAGTCCCTCAGCCTTTCATTGTAAAAGAGATGCTCCAGGCCCCTCATCATCTTTGTAGCCCTATCTCTAATCTCTTCAGCACCTTCTACTTGAACAACTGGGAAGGGCAACATGGTTGTGATTTGGTAAAATGTATTCACTCCCCAGCTACTACACCCAATTTTTCTGAAATAACAGTAAACATTACTCCCTAAAATTATTGTTTCCTTCTCATAAACAGGAAATCAAAGCTGCATGAAGCAGGAAAGCCATGCAGAACCTTGTATTACCAACTCGCCAGTGAGAAATCAGGGCTTATTTGCATTGTGACAGAAATAATCTGCCCAGAATCTCTGCAATTCAGATGGAGCAAGTGGTAAATACATGCAGTATGCAATTTTTTTTGCACAAAGGAGGGTTCAATTACTCACCTTGTTTGGAATTAACATCTTCCAAACATATTTAAATCGATTTTCTGGAGGCATAAAAATACAAGTTATCTTCATGCAGTCAAGGCCCTCAGAAATTGGTGTTCCCCCTATAGGATAAATTTTTAATAGGTTCATCATCAACTATATGAAACATCTCTGTATAGATCATAAAGTTCATAATTCTTCAAACCACAGAATGTTACTCGGAAATTATCCTTTCCCTTAAAATTACTTCAAATACTTTTTGCTTCGTCTAATGTCTGGAACGAAGCATATTGCAGAAAAACGGTGTTTTACACGGATTTGAAACCAAGCACATACCAGTACCGAAATGAGATCTGAAACATTAATGGATTGCTTAACGTGGGGATTGGAGGGTGGAACGCAACCACTTCATTCCACTTCCACCACACTCAGAAAGAACAACGTTTCCTTTTGAATCCACTTATTTGCTCTAGATCACTGTATCACAGTGTTCCACTTACAGCCACAGTCTACTGGCCCCTGGCATGACTCCACACCGACGATACATTTTGTTTCATGATCAGGGCATCCATCAGTTAACAGAACTTCTCGAATGCCAATCCCTTTGGGAGATAAAAAAAATTATCATTAAAATCTTTCACTCCGCATTTCTTCTTCATTTGCTTCATGCTCTGTTTTTCCTTCCTCTTTCTCTATCCTGGATGTTAATATGATGTATCTACCAAATACCAGGCAAAACAGATCTTCTCATAGTGCCTGCTAAAGCTATCCCGTGTCGGTATCTAAGATTTCAAGACAGCATCTACTTCTGTCAGACTCTGCACCGTAGGAAGCCAGATTCTTAGAACCATCATGCTCCAAAAAAAAGAATTCAAAATGAAGTCAGAACTTTTCTTACAGAAAAAGAATTTGAAGTGAAACTAGTATATGTTCTGCAACACAGTTAATTCACTTTGAATATAAAAGCATTTAGGCTCCTGACATTAAAATGCTTCAATCAGATGGCACAGAGGACCTTGTACAGACTGCCAGCTCAGTTTGTCTCCAGTCCTGTGATTGAGTGTGTGTCTTCAACTCCCACCAAGGTCAACAGAAACTGAAGGCACCAAAAACTTCCTGGTGCTGGGATTAAGGAGTCTTAAGTAACCAAAGAGCGACCAACAATGGGCAATCCAAGAATTCCACTAAGTCCCCAAAATGAAGCCTCTCAAGCAAACAGGAGACAACCTCTCACAAACGTGTGAAGTTAACAAAAATTCCTACACAATGTTCAAGGAAGCCAAAAAAAACCAAAAAACCAAAAAAACCACTTCACTCTCACTATCAGGATTTCAATGGGAACATCCCCATTTTAACAATTACAAACAGATTCAAAACAAGTGCTATAATTGTTTTTGCCAAACAGTGTGTACACAGTTCATTGGAATGACATAGCTTGTGGGGGAGGCAGGAATAATATGTTTAGGCCCAGTAAACACTGAAGGTTTTGCCATTTTTCCAGAAGCATTTTGTTTACTAATAGGCATGGAAAGAGGAGAGCAAGCCCCTCCACCCCTTGCAGCATCATAAGAAATAGGAAATTGGTTTGAAAATGGAGTTTCTGATGCATCTGCCTTCCTAAAATGTGTATTATATAAACCAATGGCTTTCAGAACGTTTCAGAGATGTCATGTAACTCGTGAAACAGTACTTCAAGTGACAGAGGGAGACAACACCACTTACTGAAAATGACACAAAACGAGGATCGTTCTCCACTCCAGAGAATGTCTCATTGCATGGATGCGGAGACAGAGGTGTAAATGGCAGTGAACTGACAATTTTATTAAAGGCATTCCTCTTTCTTCAGTGCCACGTGGGTTTTTTTTTTTTTTTTAGCTAACAAAAAAAGATAGAAAACCTATGAAAAGCCAAAAAGGCTGGCTCTCTAAAATCTGGGTGCTGGGCTATCTCCAGTCACATTCATCAGGAAAAATCTCATCATGTCTCACGTATGGGAATATTAAAATTTGGGAAGCATATCATACTCAAAAGGTTGATGGAAAGAAGTGCTTTTAATTTGATCTGCAAGTTCTTTTGGTACTCCTCTGCCTCTTCCTTTTGGACAGCTTTTCCTTTTCATTCCCATGTTTCCTTTCCCCACCTCTTCTCAGTAGCTGCCAATGCTGATGAAATTAATCTACTGAGATGCTCTAACAAATGAAGTCTTAACTTCCAACAAGTCATACAAGTTAACCTAACAGAAAGCCAGCCACAATGCAGTAAAAATAAATTACCCAACCGAAATTCACCCTAGAGAAATGTAAATTAACGGACTGGTGGAGGTAGGGGGGTGAAGAGGGATGATCCACAGAGAACTGAATACTTTGCAATACAAAAACAGCAGTTATGAGAGAAATTCAGAGGTAAGAGTGGCCAAAACAACTAGACCACAAAGAGACTGAGGCAAATTTGAGGCAGGTATGACTAGACATCATTAACACATGCTTTAATTATGCTTTAACACCTCTATAAGCCTGGACTAGAGGAGCAATGGATCTAAGCCACAGCATTACTGGGAAAAACTAGAGAAAATTGAGTCAATTCAGAAAGCAAGAAATATAAAGGGCTAGACAGACGAACCTAGGGAATAAGAAGGAATATGAAGGAGATAAAGAACTTAAAGTTTTACTGAAAGAACCAAGAAGCCACTTTTCAGCCTTTCACCAGACAAACATGCCGTATTGAACAGCCCAGACTATAATGAAGGCTACAAACACAATCTGAACTCCAGATATGAGATGATGCCTTTTTCTTTTTTGTTAGAGCTTCCCTTTCCTGATTCTTCAGTAAGACTACATAATTTTCAGTACTGAAGGGGTTAAACATTTTATATTGGGTCAGGCTGGGATGGAATTAACTTTCCCCACACAGCCCTGGTGGGCGCCTGGTGGTCAGCCAAGCTTAACCCACCACCACATTAACTCCGAGGGACCAAAGATAAAACTGAGACAAAATTTAGGGAAATGCCCAAAAAATAAGGAACATTTGAGACATCTGCTAGAGGCATGGGACTTAAGGAACAGTTTTTCAGTATCCAAAAGATATGTGCATCAGAGCAAGTAAGGTTATAAGGGTATGGGGATACATATACAGCATCGATATATAGAAGATATAAGCAGATTTGAAATTATGAAGAAAAGAAATATTGAAGTATGTAGAAGCAAAAAAAAATCTCCTCTAAAACCATAATGTCCTAGTATTGGAAATAGGAGGGAATCAAGGAAGTTCCATCACTGGAAATATGAAAAAGTGACTGGAAGAAATGAAAAGTTGTACTCTAGAAAACACGAGATTGATGGGGGCAAAACTCATCTGTCTTTTTTCTGTGGTCTTCTGAGAAGCTGAATTTGTTCAGAAAAAAATTAATAGCATTTGTGATTCAAGACTGCTTCCTTAGCAATATAATTACCACCTCACAGCAGTTTCTATCACCATCCTAAACGCGGAGATGTCTTCTTAAGGCTTGTCTCATTTTTCCTCTCTCCCTTCCTACTCCAGAATGATACCTCTCCTCTCCATCACACAATTTATAAATTGTATAAATCTGGAATACAGAACAGGCTACTGCAGGCAAGCAATTTTTTGGCAATATTGTATGTGGGAAGACATCTGTGAGAAGCATCAGAAGATCTTTCATCTTCTGAACATCTCACAGATGTTCACAAATAGCGAAAATTGTTACTTTGGGGAAGGCAGCTCATGTGCCAATAAACGTAGGGAACTGGTTTAAAATAGGAGCTTGCAGGCTGTGAAATTAATAAAACAACAGATCTGACCTAAACTCCTAATGACAATCAGCCTGATTGTTTTTGTTAATTATAGTTATTGGCAATTGAAATCAATGAGAGGTGAATGAGGGCAAGCAAATTACAACTGCTAAATTGCTACAGTTAGCACTTTTTTTCTTTTTTTTCCCCAAAAAACAAATGACAATATGTTTTATTCATCTGCTTTGCTACTTACCACATGTAACTGTGCATTGTCCATATTCTATTGGCGGGGACGCACTCGAACCTGAAGATAAAGTCTAAAGTTACATCTCTAATCCAACGACAGGGGTGGGAATGCCCGACTAACCAGAAACTCACTCCTTGAAATCTGTACTAATTTTAAACTGAAATGTGAAATTTGCCAATATTTTTGCTTTCACTAATTAGACCATAAAAACAAGACATTTATGAAAAATTTATCATAAATTCCAGTGTGAAAAGCCTTCATGTTTAAACCTGAAAATTATTCTTTAAAAGGAAAAAACCCTATTTTTCTTATAAAGCAGCCTAGGATGCTAAATTAGCCTACTGCACGCTCTGGGAAGTGCAGTGTCTAGGTTCTATGCAAATGATAGGTCTTCCCTGAAAAGAGTTAAGAAAAATTTTCATTAAACAATATTCAGTTCACTCATTTCCTTGTTCTTTCTGGCTAATGTGCGCCTTCCCACATGATTTTTTTTCCCCCACCACACTTCAAGGTCAAGTTTAGACAGCCAGCACAAATATGAGTCAACCAGGTACAGTTTTTTAATTAGGTACTGGGGTTTTAATCACTGTGATTGGGTTTCTTCCATTTTTTAATGGTACTTTGAGGTTACGGAATGGGTTTCACAGAATGTAATGTACAAAAGCAAAAGGTTCTCCTCTCCATCTGGGATTCAAATCTGGATTATATATTTTATTCCTAATAGCGTGCAATTTGAATCCTTGTTTATAAGGCTACTGAGATACAGTAGCTGTTCTACAGAGAATCTAACTTAGTGAAGCTCCTCTGGAGACTACTCATTAAATAAGCAATAGGTCTTTTCAATTCTTCCAAATGCAAAGAGAAAGTCACTATGACTGTTTTTACAAGTCTACACTGCCAGTCCCGCCTACTCAGATTATTTTTTTCTGATAACGAATACTTACCAATGTAAAGTTTGCTTTCACTGTCTCTCAGTTTTTTATATTCAAGATTTGTGTTTACAAAATGTTATTTCTGTGCAGCAACGCAAGTTTATATATCACTTCTTGCTACTAAATCTCTGAGCAACATTCACATTTTTCACACACTATCCAAAACTTTCAATTTCTCGGGTTGAAAGGAACAGATCCATTTCTCTTGCAGTCAGTGATATGCAAATATAAAACCTTTACTCCTCCACGTAAAGGATTTACACCACAGCAGCCCGGTGCATTCTCCACAATGATACACTGACACGGAACCCTTTTTCCCAACATTATAAATGAGCCATCAAAATCCTATTCTTCTGTTATCTCTGACTGTCTCTATGGTTTTGACATTTACTTCAGCATATAAGCTGTGCTCATCAGAACAGTCTCCCAGCGTATGCAGAGCAATCCTTAAACAATAACTTAACTATGCAGTTGAATGATAAAAAATCCAACCTTAGCCAAAACATAAGGAAAAAAATGAGCAGACTAAAATCCTATGAAAACAGGGACAACCTTTACAACGGCTAGTGTATCTCCAAACTCTATCTCTAATGAGCCTTTAACAATAACAACTTCTTCAGAAGATGGTCCCCACCACTGACATCCTATCATGTTTCCCTTAGCTTCTTTTAAATTTAAGGGGGCAGTCATTCAACAGTCTTGTCTAAGGACAACCACCACAGCACAAGAGAGAGGAGGAGGAGAACTTAAAGAACCTCTCTGCAGTCTAAATACAGCCCCGTTTACAAATACCTGCTTTCAACTTGGTACAACATGAGTTGCACTTTTTTGCTTGCGCAGAATAAACATAAAACATGCAAAAATGACCAGGAGGGAGGGCTGAGGGCTAGGACAGCTTCAGATGATGTAAATTCTCAACTCAATAGATTTCTGACAATTGGTATCAGCTTGCAGTAAGCTCCAAACCTCTACCCTGAAAGTAGGTATTGCTGTAATTCAATTTTGAGGTAACAAGCTGAGTGTAGCCACAGCAGGGTGTCGGCATATGAGAAAGGAGAAACTGCTGTTTCCCACCCAGACACAAATTAGGAAAAAAAAAAAAAAAAAAGAGAGGAAGAAAAAGCCCTAGAAACAAGAAGAGACACAAAACTTCAGACATTAGTAATAGAAGGCTGAGGGACCTTGCTAACCAGTGAAAGCAAACCTCCTAATTATAGGTGAAGACATCAACCATGATACCCTTTTCAGGTTGCTTCTGGCTTCAGGAGCACCACAATGCACAACAGGACTCTTTTGTCAGAGATTCATAACGATGAACCAATGTCGTGGTTTGGGCTGGTTTTGACTACAGCTCTAAATAAAAAAGATACTGTATTCTCTAAGTAGCAATGCTCCAAATAAGCCTTTAAACACATCTAAACTTGAGAAGCTGATTGGTTCTAAATTAACAAGTTAATTGGGAATCACCAATCCTGATTTCTGATTCAATGATTTTTTTTTTTAAAAAGCAACAAAAAGAAACTTCAAGGGAAACAGGATCAGATTCATTGATAATCCTCCGGATAACGTAACACTTTTTATATGAATTTTATGAACCTTCCATGCCAATATTGCAATACACTGTTCCGCGTTGCTTCCTTTACTTGCATTTCCTCCATACACTTAAAATGAACCAAAATGTTAAGAAAGCTTCCAGTAAGAAACTACAGATCTTTCTCCTTACATAAGCTGGTTCCAGTTGCATCGGGTTCAGATAAAAATATAGTGTCAGCCCTATGCAAAAAAAAATTATGTATATAGCTGCCATTAGCATTAATAGGAGTTATATATGTAAATCCCACACATGCTGAGATAAGAATGTGCTAAGGAACTGCATTTACATTCCTGTCAGGGGGCTGCAATTAGTACCAGCACAGCAAAGGCAGGCTGTATTCCTCTCTCTACATTTGGAAGCCTTGTAAAACCTATGTAGGACAGAAAATCTTAGCCATTATGCACCATTTCAATTACGAGCCACGTCACGGCGTTACATGCAGAATTATGGTGATAAATGCTTAGAAAGCCCACAGAAACCCTGCTAGAAATGTCAGCAGGGAGCACGCAAGGCGGAACGCGTTGACTCCTGAGTTGGGCATCTCATCCTTGCCAAGCATTGTGGCTTTGGCTCTTGGAGGGTCCTGCTCTCCCCAGGGCAGAGGGGACAGGGTGACACGGCAGGGGGACAATTAAGGGGTCGGGAACCTTTTTCCAAAGCACTTTGCACTTGCCAACAGCGGTTGGGAACCTCTGCTGTTCCACAACAGCCAGGAGAGGGTTTGCATGTCGCCGGCCCTCCCTAGACCAGACTTTGGGCTACCAGGGTGGCGAGCAGCCCTGGACCTTTCCTCACCCCACTCCCCCGTGATGCCCCAAAGCTTTAACACAGCCCTGGAGACGCTCCCGACACCGTCCCACACCGGGGAGCGATCCTGACCTCCCCCCCCGCCGCCACCACCTCCCCGGCGGTGATTAAGGCGGTGATTAAGCCTTGGCTCCGGAGAGCACGACGCCGGGCAGCCCCGCAAATGTCGCCTTTGCCGTACGACACCTGCTCTCCCCGCACCCCCCGGGAGAGGCCGGGAGGTAGCGGGTATCACCGGAGCCGCGGGGGAAGCCGCCACGGGGAAGCGAGAAGGCAGCCGGCCGGCCTGAGGGGAGGCGGCGGCGGCCTGAGGGGAGGCGGCTGCCCCGTGGCCTGTCTGCCTGAGGGGAGGCGGGCCCCTGCCGCGGTAGGGCTGGGGCCGGAGGTGGCGCCCCCCGTCCACCCACCGAAGCACCCACACAACCCGGGGGCCGCCCTTACTCGGCACCGCCGCGTCGATGAGGATGGCGGCCCCCTCCGCCAGGGAGGCCTGGAGCAGCGCCAGGAGCAAAGCCAGGACCCCCGCCATAGCGCCGCACTCCTAGCCCGTCCCGCCGCCCGGCAACTCACCCTCAAAAACACCCCGGGGGGCGTCACAAAGGGGCCGGGCCCCCCCTGTCGAGCTCCGGGCCCGGCCGCGGTGGGGCTCCGGCCTTCGGGCCTCGGCGTCTTAGGTGGTTGGTAACAAAACGGGAGTTCGTGGCTGCCTGCTAAAGGTGGGCCTGGATAATAACATTCACCTGTGCAATGGAAGGTTGTGCTTCTCCAAATCCAGAAAAAAGGCAGATTTTGATTCAAATCTTGGTGGCTGGCTCCTGTTTTTTAAAAATATTACCCTAGGTTTTCCACAGTACCCTTCAACACCCAAACTCCCCACCATTGGTCAGAGGGGGGATCTGATCAAGGACTATAAATATGTAAAGGGTGGGTGTCAGGAGGATGGGGCCAGTCTTTTCAGTAGTGCCCAGGGACAGGACAAGAGGGAACAGGCACAAACTTGAACATAAGAATTTCCTTCTAAACATGAGGAGGAACTTCTTTATTTTGAAGGTGGCAAAGCCCTGGAAGAGGCTGCCCAGAGAGGTGGTGGAGTCTCTGTCCCTGGAGACATTCCAAACCCGCCTGGACACGTTTCTGTGGGACCTGCTCTGGGTGGACCTGCTTTGGCAGGGGGTTTGGGCTAGATGATCTCCAGAGGTCCCTTCCAACCCCAGATCATCCTATGATCTGCCAGAGCCCTGTGTAAAAAGGGTGCAAACCGAAGAAATGCACCCCCAATTCAGAACAAAAACCTGGTAATTGTGTACATTAGACAACGGTTGTGGTTGCAAGTGGGACCCCGGGCCAGCAGGTTAAGAGAATATCAAGAGCTTGCTTGCAATGAGAATTCCCACCACCCAAACCCAGCGTCTGCAAGTGGTGCTCCCACATTTCGCATGTTTTAGTCACCGCTTTGATGTTCGGAAAGCCTCTGCAGATGTCCCAAGCTATCTGGGCGAGAACTTCCTCCTCAGCGAGCGTGGCTTCCGTCAGCAACCGCATTTCCCCCAGAATAAAGAAACGCAGCCAACAGGGAGCTGCTTGCGAGTCCCGATCTGGACCCTGGGATGTGTGAAATTCACTTTCGTGGGAGTTGAAAATGAACAGAGCTTTCCCTGTGTTTGAGACTACCCGTGTATCTTATCTCTTTGACTTCGCCTTTCCATAATAATTTCTTCCCAGGACACCTGCTCTCACATGTGCAACAGCAAATGTGGAAGAAAATGCCTGGAACTGATCAAACTACTTCCCTAAAGGCTAGAACAGAGATTATTACTTTTATAAAATACTCAGGAGGCTCTCAGACGTTGAAGGCAGAGAAGCTGGAGATGTGGGAAAATACTATTTGATGGGTAACGAACCATCATTTATTCAATAAAGTTCATGAAGCTGTCAAAGTTTATGTTGTCAAAATAATAATTATATCCTTAATAACTGCTCCTATTTCTATATCTTCAGGACCCAAAGTCATCTAGAACTAGGAAAAAAGTCAATATTGAATAAAACCAGTTGTCTCTAGGGAAAAGATTGGCCGAATAGGTTAAATCCAAGGGTATATTCTAGTTTTTCTTTTGAGATTATTTTCAACACACTTTCCAACCTGTGTGTATGCACGTGTAACATATCCCTGTATATACACACAGATGCACATATATTCTGTGCTGCGCTGCCTGCTTGGGATGGGACGCAGGAGACATTTTCCATGAAGGAAAGATGAATAATTTCCAGGAACAGCAGGACCACATACTTCTTTAGAAGAAATGGATCTTTACCATCTCTACAGAATAAGCAGGAACTCAGCTTTTTGTGCTGAGACCTAGTAAAAGGCTGGGTGGCATTTTGTGTGTTTTCTCAACATTATTTGTAGCAATGGCCTTTCCATTCCTTCCTTGTGCTTCACATGCTTGGTGTTAGTCTTTATCTCTTTCTACAGTTTGCCTTCTGCCCAAGCTCGCTCTCATTTTTTCTGACCTTTCTTATTTTTCTGTGTGGGGTTTTTTAGGTTATTTTTTTTTTTTGAAGGCAATAACAATATTAATGGAAGTGGGCAATATCAGCTTGGCTCATGCTGCTAAGTGGCTCCGTGGAGCAGTAGTGAGCTCCCAAGTGGGCAGAGCTGTTTCCACCTACTTTGTGTCGCTCTCACAGCTGGCTGTACCACAGGCTGCCCGGAGAGAAGACTGGCAAACAAACAGCTTGGAAAGAGCTTGCAGCTGCTTGTTCTTCTCCCCAGCCTCAGGACAGCCATAAAGCGTTTCTGCAGTGGGAGTGTGTATTTGGAAGCTTTCTTCCAGGCTGCTCCTTTTCTCTCCTCGCTTGGCACCAGCTCCCACACGATCGTTTTCCTCAGCCGTTTACAGGAAGAACAGTCTGCCTGGACTTGTAGCCAGCATCACCCCCTTCCCCGGGGTTAGGAGCGGTGGGCAGAGTCACAGTACTCCTTAGAATTACCCGTTTGTGAAGATGGGAATGAGAGATGCAGCTCCTGGCAGCAGACAGAGCTTCTTGAGTGTTAGAAACACCTGGAATATGATTAGCTCTCGATTCTGCCTTCAGGCGATACGGGATGTGGACTTTCAATTTAGCCATATAATGCAAAATAGTTTCTTGCTCACTTTATTAGTCTAGTTGCTAATTAATAGACCAACCAACGCCATTACCACAATGCCAACAGATTTGTACTTCAGCCTGAACTTATTCTCAGTAAGAACATGGCCAGATTTGATGCTTGGTAGTTTTCTGAGTTAATAACCGTGCTTGCAGAAGGTTCAGGTGGTGTACAGCCAAACGACATAGACAACATTTACAGTGAGCCAGAGCAGCCTTGTCTCTTTTATTCACACCGATAGCCCAGGTTGTTAGCAAGGTGAGGGAGATGTTTGATACTCTTAGAAAACAGGAGTTCCATGCAGTGCTGTTTGCTGCGACAGGACTCCGATGGTCAATAGAATTCCTTTATTCTCTGTGCGCGGGCCAGTAAATAATTCTGTAAGTCGTATCCCGTTGAAAGCTCCTGCAGCAGGAGCTCATGCCAGAAGGGCAGCACATCTGTAGTGGTCAAGGGGAGGTGGGCAACAGTTCTGAAAAACGCCTCCTCTTGTTTTGTTCCTATGCACAGATAATGGCATGCTTCTTCCACTGGGTAAGAATTGTTGCCATAGTAATGTTTCCAGCACTCCTTTGGATCAATAGCAGAACAGAGGGTTTTTCAGGTATTTCTGTTGTTTGCAAAGCCTGCAGTCATATCCCATATATATATTTCTGTTCCTTCTGTAAAATAGGTTCATTCGAAGACCTTTTAGCACTTTACAGTCATGCGAAGAAAGCAGCATAAACAAGGTGTGCAAAGATCTCGGGTCAGAATCAGGCCTCCAATGGACAGGTGCAGTTCTGTCAAGAGAGCGGGGTCACATTTGCTTCATCAAAGCCCTGAACTCAGCCCTTCTAGGCCTATCAACACCCCACCAAATGCAGGAACAAGCCGAAGCTGCAGAAATGGTTCTGTTTTCCCTTAGGGGCCGGATATCGTTCCATTCACTAATCAGTGGGGTTTTTCAGTTGATGTAAAGTTAATTTGCTGGCTCGTGGACACTCTGTAGGTACCTGACGTATTGCCACAGCATAGGTTCAAGCTGATGAGATGCTACTGATTCTAGGATGGGAGTGAAATGAGAGCTTTCCATAAATTGTTAAGGGCTGAATCTACAGAAGCGTGGTTTTAGTCACTGCACCGCCACTTTCAGCAACCACCTTCAACATGCAGATCATCAGAGTCTGCCCATCTGCTCTACACATGCCAAAAGACTGTGTACGTGTGGAATAGAGGCCCCTGCATTTCCCCCACATAACCTAGTAGTTTAGGGCAATGAGCTAATTTAGATGTTTACTGGGAACAATCCCTTTCCCAGTAAACAGTTTGCAACAGCGATGCTGTGTAGGAGTTTTAAGAGTCCAATATGGGCCATTCATGCTAGTTGACCTCAGAGCTGGAGCACAGTTAATGTATGAAGACAGGCTTTGGTTGAAGATGAAGCATCGCCGTGTCTAAATGTTTTTGTGAATTCAAGATTAAGAGCTGAGGACAAACTTTTGTCAGGTAGAAAGTGTTCTTCTTGCCATATTGATATATGAGCAATAAAGAGGAGCATGATTTGCTTGCAATGTATTTTGCATCTTTTTAGAGAAAAACATCTCAAACTCCACTCAGATTTCTCCATGGGATAGTGATTCTTTTACTTCAGCCATTTACATCTAAACTTTACCATTCACGGGCCCATTATGCATCTTTCTGTGTGTAGATTCCTTTACAAAGAGCGGTTTTTACCTACAGATGCTGCACAAGGCTCCTTCAGGTATTACAGTCATTCACTTCTAATTGGAACGGGAACACGCTATCTTCTGTAATTATGTGGTATTTTTTAAATAGCGACTAATACTTCATTGCCTGCTGAAAACATCTCCAAATCACGAATACAAGTGGCTTCTGCGGAAACAGCAGTAATCAGCACCATAGACACAACTTGGAGAGATTCATTAGAGCTCCCCCACAATTCCTAGGCTGGTGTCTGCACGCGTAGATCACCACCGAGCTGACAAATTAAGCTCTACTTCTTCTTCTCCTCTTATCTGACAATTCTCAGGAGAGCTGGTATTCCATGTGTACTTACTCTCCCCCTTAGACACTTTCACCAAAACTGGAGGAGCTTTCCTTTATCTTCTGCAACTCCTTCTTCCTTGCTGGCAGCAAAGCTCCTCTTGCCTACACCTACACATCTGGCCTTCCAGAAAGGAAGACGAGAGGAGAAAGGAGTAGAGGAGGAGGACAAGATATGTGCCTGGGTTTTGTCATGAGATGGAGTCAGGGTACATCTAGGCTGGTGGACACTGGAAAACACCTTTGAGTCCTGTGGCTTGTATGTCATTCTTTGTCTTGGCAGCCTTGTGAAGGGAAAGAGGGAGGAATTCAGCTGAGATTTCTGTCCATGGGCA